TCCACCTGTCCATCCACCCATCCACCCACTCACCCCTCCACCTGTCCACCCACCCGTCCATACCTCCACCCACCCATCTCCCCATCCATTCCTCCACCTGTCCATCCACCCGCTCACCCTTCCACCTGTCCATCCACCCATCCACCCACTCACCCCTCCACCTGTCCATCCACCCACTCACCCCTCCACCTGTCCATCCACCCACTCACCCCTCCACCTGTCCATCCACCCGTCCATACCTCCACCCACACCTCCACCCACCCATCTCCCCATCCATTCCTTCACCTGTCCATCCACCCATCCATACCTCCACCCACTCACCCATCCATCCACCCACCCATTCGTCCACCTGTCCCTCCACCCACCCATCCATCCCTCCGTCCATTTAGCGGACACCTGTGAAGAATCCACATGCCCCAAAGGCTGGTGCAAGGCACATTTTCAAGAGTTGCCCCTGGGCCATAGCAGAGGGACCCGAGAGCGCCCCCTTGGGCTCCAGTTGCCCAAGCACCGACAGGGAGGCTCCAGGCAGATCAACTCTCTGAACCAGACGAGGCGGGGTTGGAAGGCAGAGGGAGAAACGGCAGCAGGAGGCTGACCAGGCCCGGATGAAGAGGGGCCCGGGCAATCAATCAGAGCCCCAGGCCGGACTCAGGGACGTCCGCCTGGACGCGCCTGCGCAGAAGATGGCCTGGTCCAGCGCACTGCACAGCAGGGAGGGGCTTGACTGCACCGCTGGAGGCGCGGGGCAGGAGTGACAGCTGCCATGGGGCGGGGCTGGTTGGGGAGGAAGACTCCAAAGGCAGTGGAGTGGGACACTGTGGAGCGAAGGGGTGTGGGTGTGAGGATGGGGAGACACGACAACCCGGGAGGGCGGCTCGAAGGAGAAACAAGAGCGGGGCATGCACGGATTTGGGGGTGGGAAGGGGGAGGGCGGAAGGCGATTCGCAAGTTCTGGAACCGCAGTGCTGCCCCTGACCGAAATGAGGAAGCTGTTTTTGGTGGGAAGGCCCTGAGTTTGGTTTCGAACGCGCTGACTGTACACTAAGCCGTGCATGCGTTGGGCTCCCCCTGGGGCCTGGAGGAGCGCTGCGGTCCCACTGCGCAGGCCCAGGCCTCCCATCAGGCCCTGATCAAGGGCTCGGCTGGGAAGGCAGCCCCGGCCCTCCTCTTCCTTCCCGGGTAAAAGCAACAGAAGCGTGGCATTGGTGGCTCTAAGACGGCAGAACGCACAGTCCCTGGTCCTCAGCTCGGCGGCCTGCAGCTTCCTGGGACCCGGCTCCGAGCTCAGGCCGCCAGGTTCTTGGGCTCGCCGGGCGCCAGCGTCGTCAGCTTGCCCACGCAGAGCAGGATGAGCGTGAGGAACCAGAGGCTCCAGCCCACGGCGGCCGCGATCCAGCCGGACTCGTCCACGCCTGCGCGGCAGCACCGGGCGGCCAGCGGGCAGAAGTCGACATCTGGGGAGAGAGAGGGCGCGTCAGCCAGCCCCCGGCCCTTCCCGAAACCAGCTGTGCCTGCGCCATCCTGGCCGGCAGCGGCATCCACCGAAAGCCTGAACACCCGCTGACGTCAGTTCCGACTCCCGGTCGCCCCCTGTGCTTCGGCGTGGAACTGCGCTTTGTGGGGTTCCCTGGGCTGTCATCGCAGGGGAGCCGATCTCCCCGCGGCCTGTCTCTTGCAGCACCGCTCGGTGGATTCGAACAGCCAGCCTCCCGGTTGGAAGGGGAGAGCAACCGCCCAGGGATCTTAAAAGACGGTGGGAGGAAAGGCCTGTGATGGACTTCCACAAAGTCACCCACTGGAAATCCTATGGAGCACGGTTCCACCCTGACCCGCGCCCAGGAGTGGGCTTGCCTTGTGCAGTACTGAGCTCCCTGCAGCTGGAAGTATTCAAGCAGAGGATGGACAGACCTATGCAGAGGGTTCCAACACGAGGCTCCTGCTTTGGGGGCCAGTCCGGCTGGCTGGATTTGGTGGTCTCCCCAGTCCTAACCTCTTCAAGCATTCCAGCCATGGCTCCACCGGTTCCTTCCGCTTCGACCCCTTGCTGAGAACTTGCCTTTCCACCCCAGATAGACTGAATCCGACTTTACATATTAGCATAACGTTTATACACTTAACATCGTTTGATACATTCACTTAACATTAATTAGTAATTTCACATGAATATGTTTAACATCACACCTGTACACAAGTGTTACCTGGGCATCTTGTTAAACAGTATGTCCTGAGTCAGTCTACCTGGGGTGGGAGTGCCTGTTCTCAGCAGGGAGCCAAACCGGAATGAACTGGTTTGTGGTCCTGATTCTAACTCTGGCATCTCTGGCAGCTGTCCTGGGGTGGATCGTTAAAGCCACCTGTGCAGATTCTGCATCTAGATCAGGTGAAGTTGTGCAAATGTTCTGAGGGCCTGGAACGGGCGCGAACAGGCCAGGCCGCCCTCGGCCATCGGCACCGATCACCTGACAGAGCAAGGAGGCGTCAGGCCCCTCTCCATCCAGCCCTGGGGTGGGCAGCGGGCAGGGGAGGCTTACTGAGGCACTGCTCCAGGGTCCCGGGGTCTGGGTGGTGGGCGGCCACGGCTGAGGCATTGCTGCTCCTCGCTTCTGAAAGAAAAGACAGGATGCGTCTTAAGCATGAGGGAAAGCTGTCTCCAGCAGGGGGTTGACAGGATTTTTCTAAGTCAGTTGTGTTGTGAAGGTGCATCTACAGGAAGTTCTGCTGTAGGTATAGGAGGCCCTGGGTGAGGCAAACGGTCGGTGTGCCAGCTGCTGACTGAAAGGTTGGGGCCTTGAGTCCACCCAGGGTGCCTCGGAAGACTGGCCTGGCGACCTGCTTCTGAAGCCCCACCATTGAAAACCCCCTGGAGCCCAGTTCTACTCTGCCAGACACTCCGTGAGTCACAGTGGACGTGGTGGCACCCGGCTTTGCGATCACAGGTGTGCTGAGGCTTTAGTTGGCAAAGCCAGTGGTCCTTCTATTTATTCAGAGCCTGTCTCTCACTGCCCTTCAGGGATCCAGGGCCTACCATGAAGCTTTCCACACATGCCATTTTAGCTGCTTGCCATGTGGACAGAAACGGCTCTGCCAGCGTATGTTAACCAAACCCTAATATTCCAAATGTCTTTTCATAAGTGTCTCCTCCAATTCCCTCCACTTGAACAAACAAACGCTGAAATCCAACCTTGATTCTTTGTTTCTTTCAACCATGACGTTGTTACCCAAGCAAATGGTTATGAAAGAGTCAAACCCCACGAAAGAGTGTGTGGAGAGTGGAGAACACCCAGCCCTGGAGTTATCCCCTTGGTTCCTGAGCAAGTGGCATGGAGGTGAGGAGAATGTTAGCGGGACTTTAAGTTTTGTCAATTTGGGTGGGGTATGAGGTGGACCTAAGGGTCCTGGAGGAAGAAAAGCCATTTCTCATGTTCCCTCCTGTACCTGAGAATAAGAAGATGGTCGTGCTAGGTCATACTTCCAATATAGTAGTCTCTAGGCATCGGGAGCTATTAAAGTTTATTTCAATTCCGCATTCCCTTTCTTGGTCGCATTAGCTGTGGTTCAAGTGCTCGATTGGCCCATGTAGCTAGTGGCCACCACACCACACAGTGGCCAGCACAGATCTGGAGCACTGTCATCATCAAAGGCAGGTCTGCCCCACAGCGCTAACGTCGGTGGTGGAGTCCCTGGGGTGCAAACAGTTAATGGTGCTCGACCGTTGACCGGACGTTTGGGGCTCAGGTCCACCGAGAGGCACCTCGGAGGAAAGGCCTGGTGGTCTGCTGAGAAGTCAGCTGTTGCCAGCCCCACGGAGCACAGCTCTGCCCTGACATGTGCGATCGCCGTGCGTCAGATTTGACTTGGCAGCAGCTGGTTTTTAATCTAAGTAGACCAAAACCTTGCTTGCTGGAAGGGAAAAGGACTTGAAGCACTAACTGATGAAGATCAAAGACCACGGCCTTCAGTATGGATTACACTTCAACATAAAGAAGACAAAAATCCTCACAACTGGACCAATAAACAGCATCATGATAAAGGGAGAAAAGATTGAAGTTGTCAGGGATTTCATTTTCCTTGGATCGCTAATCAACACCCAAGGAAGCAGCAGTCAAGAAATCAAATGAGGCATTGTGCTGGTCAAATCTGCAGTCAAACACCTCTTTAAAGGGTTAAAGAACAAACACCTTGAAGACTTACATGTGCCTGATCCAAGGCATGGTCATTTGAGTCACCTCATATGCATGTGAAATCTGGACAATGAACAAGGAAGACTGAAGAAGAGTTGATGCATTTAAATTGTGGTGTTGGTTCTTAAGGGGGTGAGTTTCTGGGCCCTCGGGCTTGGAACCATGGTCAAGGGGGACATCAAGCTCAACTGGCATCACATGCTACACAGAAACACTGTTCTCCATCCTGCTTCAGTGAGGAGTGACTGGGGTCTTAAACACTTGCGAGCAGCCATCTAGATGCAACAATTGGTCTCTCCTTGTCAGGAGCAAAGAAGAATGAAGAAAACCAAAGACGTATGGAAACAGTCCAGGGCACTAGCAGACCTCAGCCTACATGACCCTAAGACCAGAAGAACTAGATGGTGCCTGGCGATCACTGACAACCCCTCAGAGAAATGGATCAAAATAGGAGATTCTGGATAGACTGGGGAAAAAAATGTGGAACAAAACTCAAAATCATAAAAACAACCCGGCTTACTGGTCTGATAAAGACTGGTGAAACCCCTAAGACTATGGCCCTTAAACACCCTGTAGTTCTGGAATTGAACTTACTCCCATGGATTCCAGCCAAACGATGTTGTTATTGTTGTTATGTGCTGTCGAGTCGGACCCAGCTCATAGTGACCCCTCCTTGGGTTTCCGAGGCAGTATCAGTACGGAAGTAGATTGCCCAGTCTTCCTTCCGGAGTGGCTGGTGGGTTTGAACCGCCAGCCTTCTGGTTAGCAGTCAAGTGCCTTTAGGCACTATGCTACCAGAGCTCCTAGCCAAACAATAGACAGGCATATAAAGTGAACATTTATATCAGGTAGGCGCACTCTTTAGAATAGTGAACCATGGGAGATCAGAAGGGCAGTAGTTGCACAGAGAGATGGCTCAGAGGGCAGGAATGCATAGGAAAGAAGGACACAGTGAAAGGGTAACCACAGGGAGGAAGTGGGAAGAGAGCTGGTACATTGTGGGGATTGCAATCAATGTCATGAAACAAAATGTGTATGAATTGTTGAATGGAAAACGAATTTATCCTGTAAACTTTCACCCAAATTACAATGAAATAAATAAATAAATTGTGGTGTTGATGAAGAATACGGGAAATACCATGGACTGCCAGAAGAACTAACAGATCTGTCCTGGAAGAAGTGCAGCCGGAATGCTCCTTGGAAGCGAGAATGACCAGACTTTGTCTCATCTACTTTGGTCATGTTGTCAGAAGGGACTATTCCCTGGGGAAGGATGTCATGCTTGGTAAGGTGGAAGGTCAGCAAAGAAGGGGAAGGCCCTCAATGCGATGGATTGACACAGTGGCTGCAACGATGGGCTGAAGCAGAGCAAAGACTGTGAGGCTGGCACAAGCTGATCGGTGTTTCGTTCTGTTACGCGTGGGGTCGCCGTGAGCCGGAGCTGGCTCGATAGCACCTAACAACAGACCAAAACCAAGAGATCAATCTTGAAGAATCTGTCTGGAAATCTGCTTCTTTGGGAATGCAAAACAGAACACAGCGCGACACAGCGCGACACAGCGCGACACAGCGCGACACACAGTACAACACAACGTGACAAAACCAAGGCCCTGAGACGGTCTGTAGACTCTCAGGGCCGCTCTCAATGTCAGCATGTCCTCAGAGGCCCTTGGCACAGCCAGGACACGTTAGGAAGAAAGTTCCTGCTCAGTCAGGGTCATGAAATGGCTGCTGAGGCTCGTTTCCTGCCCCCCCCTGCACCCCCATGTCCCGTAATTACCCCGATGCAATCTGCCTGCTGCTGTAAATTATTTACAGCGAAATGGCTTAGCTTGTGGTATTTATTTGCTTTGCAGAAACTGATTCCTCCACGTCTGAATTTTCCTTGTGACCCGAATAACTTCCTTGGCTTGACTTTCATTGCACTTCATGGACGGGTTTCTATTCAGAGCAAGTGCATGGGGGAAAAAACCTGGTTAGTTGGATCCTTGTATGGGGTTAGCGGAGCTCTGGTGGCACAGTGGCTGAGCGCTCAGCTGCTACCTAAAGGTTACCCAGGGGCTCCGCAGGGGAAGGTCCTGGCCGTCTGTTTGCACAAGGTGGCAGCCAAGAAAACCCTACGGAGCCGTCCTGCTCTGTCCCACGTGGGCCTGCTATGAGCCGACGTGACTGGGCCGCACCTTCGCAAGAGCAGCGTTGGGTGAAATGTGATGAGGCTGCTGTTTTCCTAGGTCAGAAAGCAGCCAATGCCAGCCATTTTGTATGTGGCTCACACCGAACAGCCCAGCTGCAGATTCCTCCCAAGATACACATCAGCCCCATCCCTCGGTTCGAATCCCGGCCAGTGCACCTGATGCGTGGCCACCACCTGGCTGTCAGCAGAGGCTGCCGTGTGGCCCTGATGCTGACCACGTTGCAGTGGAGTTTCCGGCTAGGTCTGGAAAGCAGTAAGGCGTGGCAATGTCCTTCTGAAGACGGGCCATAAAAGCCCTGTGGATGGCAATGGTCCGATCCGTGCTGACCACAGGGATGACGCAGGGCCAGATGGCGTTTTGCTCTGTCCTGTGTGGGGTCACCGCGAGTTGGGGGCCAGCAGCTCCTTCCTCATCAGCACAGCCAGCCAGGGACTGAGCCCCCTTGGGGTCCTCCCACAGCTGAGGCCGCTGGGAAGACCCATCACTTCAGGGCAGTTAGAGCTGCCATGTGGTCAAGCCCCTACCACAAGCTAGGCTGGAGCCTGGCATTGATGGTGAGGATGGTGCCGAATGGGGCAGTGTTTCCTTCCACTGTACAGGGTCGCTGTAAGTCAGAACCACCTGGGTGGTACCTGCAACCACAACATGAGGAAGGCCCTGGGGGCGGGCAGCACTCTGACTGGGGAAGGGGATGTTAGAAAATAAAATGAACACGTGAATCATGATTGCTGACATTCACATGTTTGCCGTGAGCTATTTTAAGTTTTTTAAAGGCAGTCATCTTGTTTCATCTGTACAACCACCCTGTGAATAAGCGCTTTGATGATCCTTACTCTATAGATTGGTGGCACATGGTTAAGCACTTGGTTGCTAACCAAAAGGTTGGTGGTTCAAACCCACCAGCTGCTCTGCAGCAGAAAGATGTGGCAGTTTGCTTCCGTAAAGATTACAGCCTAGGAGACCCTGTGGGGCAGTTCTGCTCAGTCCTATAGGATCGTTACAAGTTGGAATTGACTTGACGATGCACAGCAACACAGATGAGGAAACTGGAGCACAGAGAGGTTAAGCAATCTGCCCAAGGTCACACAGCTAGGAAGTTGTAGAAGCCAGATTAAGCTGAGGCTCAGTGGCTCCAAGGGAGACTACCAGGACAAGAGTGGCAGACCCAGCTTGGGGGGTGTCTTGAGAGGAGGAGAGTCTGCCCAGGACTGGGACAGTGTGCTGAGGGGGGCTCAGGAGCAATTTCAAAGCAGGGCAAAAGGGAGGAGCTGGTGAGTGTGGCCAAGGTTACAATCCATGGTGTGCGGAGCCCAGCCTGGGAGAGAGGCCGGGGACAACCCCTCTGAACCCCACAAGAATATGGGTTAATAACCCAACACTCATGCTAACAGCGTTCCTGGAGTTAAGGTGGGTGAAGGACGCAGAGGAAGTAAGGTGGTGTGGACAGAGGCCTCAGGGGAGGGAATGGTAATGGGCCAGGCAGGCCGTGACCCCTAACTGCCCTGGGCAGGGGAAGGAGCCGAGAGACACCACAGAGCAAAGATGCCCTTCCAGACCCCTTGTCCTCTGATGGGGGAGACCAAGGCCAGCCTGGGGGGCTGCTGCGGTCACAGGGGAGAGCTAAGGATCGGATCCTGGTCTTTGGTAAAAGTAGACACCCCACCCTACCACCCACTGCTTCCTCTCCCTTTGTGAAGGACCTGTCCTGGCCAAAGAGTCCTGCCCCTTCTCTCCTCCCTCCTCCTCCTCCCTCCCTCCCTCCCCCTTCCCAGTGGGGCTTGAAGAAAGCTCACAACTCTACCTGCCAAGCCAGCTGAGTGGAAGGAGAAGAAGAGGCTGAGGGTCAGGGTGGCCCAGGCCACAGAGAAGAGGTGCTTCCTGCAGGAGAGGGAGGCGGCTCTCTGCACCATCTTCGTGGAGGTGAGCTGAGCACCGCCGGTGCTATGTGTCCTGTGTGTGTCTGGTGCTGTCCTGAGGTCGCCTGCCCCGCAGGAGTTTGAATACGCTGTCTTCTGTCTCCGCTGAATTCCTGCTCTGTATTTGGGGGGAAAAAGAGAAGGGGTGGAGCAAAGGCACTTGGCTGTCACACCTTGCTCTTACCTCTCTAGAAGGGAACCAAAGTCTGCTGGCTGGGGGTTGGAGGAGGGGGAAAGTGGGAGGGACAGTTTGTGCAGCTAGTCCCTGAGCTCGGATTTTGTCCCCACTGAGAACAAAAGAGGAGGAGGTCCGGAGAGGAGAGCCAGAGCCAGGTCCTGCTGGGTCCTTGCTGGCTCTTCCGTTTACAGGTGCAGCAATGGGGCCCCTCGCCCACTATCCCCAGGCTTCACTGAGCACCTAGTACGTGCCCTGCATGTTGCTAATCTGGGACTGTCTGCTCTCAAGCTGCTTCAATGACAAGCACAGGCCATTGAGATACAGAGCAGTGTCTCGGGAGGGACTTGGGAGGGACAGAGCAGCGAGAGGCCACTTCTGCTGAAGGGCGCTGCAGGACAAGAGGCCGTTTGAGTTGGGTCTCGGAGGTTGAGTAAGAGTTTGACAGGCGACAAGGAGAGATTCTTGTAGGTAGAAGTGACAGGTGAACAAAGACCAGAGGGAAGATAGGGCTCAGAAGTCCCCTGTGACTGCAGCCCAGAGTGTAGGTGGCCTGAGAAGGGTGGGTGGGAGCCAAAGGGAGGGCTAGGAGGCTGAGCGCCTGAAGTGTCAGCCTGGGGAGTTTAAAACAAAGGCAAAAGGCAGACTTGTAGAGATGTTGAGCTGAGCCGTAACTTGATTGCAGCTCTGCCTGTAGTGAAAACATGTATGACTGCCCCCCACATGTCTGAAGGGCATCATCTCAGCATTAGACACTCAAAGGTGAATGAGACACACATATCCTGCCCTTGAGGGGTGCAGTCCAGCACTGAGAGCAAGTGGAGAAAAGATCCTGACACAATTCTAAGATTCAAAAGTGATTACCTTCTGCAAGTTATGGGGGGTGCACATGGTTTACGTGCTCGGATATTAGTCGAAAGATGGGGGGTTCAAGTCCACACAGAGGTGCCTTAGAAGAAAGGCCTGGTGATCTCCTTCCCCCAAAATCAGCCCTTGGAAACCCTATGGAGCACAGTTCGACTCTAACACACATGGGGTCTCCATGAGTTGGAGACAACTTGACAGTGTTTGGTTTTACATACACACACATACACACACACATATACACACTGACAACAGGACTTATTTCACAAGTTATGGGAACATAAAAGAGTGATTAAATCTGCTTGAAAGATTCAGGGGAAGATGACAGAAAATGTCACAGAAGAAGTGACATTTGAGCTGGGTATTAAAGGGGCCCTGTGATGCAACAGTTAAGCACACTGCGGTTAGTGGTTCAAACCCATCCAGCAGCTGCACGGGAGAAAGACCTGGTGATCTGTTTCTGCCAAGACTACAGCCCAGGACACCCTACGGGGCAGTTCTGTCCCACAGGGTCATGATGGGTCAAAACGGACTCAAGGCACCTACCCACACCACTGAGGTTTGCCTAAAACTTTTACTGACTACTCCCTACGTACACAAAAGACATCATCCTGGACGTTGGAGTCTCAAAGGTGAATGAGACATGTTTTCACCTTTTCATGGGCTTTTCAAGGGAAAACAACAGCACATTTAAAGGTAAAAGAATTCATGGTATTTGTGACACAGAAACTTAGTGTCTGCATGTCTGCACAGTCACCAGGTAAGGTGTTGTGTGTTGTGTGGCTCCACTAGGAGGGCCAGGTAAAAGTGTGAGGGATGAAAGCCGGCCCATCCAAGCTACATGCATGGGCATGTGGGCTTTGTTTGAACGAGTGAGGGCATGGACTGTAACTGGTCAGCTGTTCAATGGTACAAGTTAATGGTGGCCCCAGTATTGCTGGGTTTGGGGACTGAGTGCAAGGTGGAAGTGCTTTAGGAAGGCTACTTTCCAGGCAGCATACAAAAGTCTAGTTTTGGCCTACCAGTCATTTGAGTGCTCAACACACAATTACTAAGTAACAGCTGCAGGCAGGCCCTTGGCACAGGGCTTCAGGGGAGTTAGACAACCCAGTCCCCATCCTCAAGGAGCTTGGTCCAATGAGGGAGACGGACAGATAAATAATGAGAACACAGTCTAGTAAGTGTAACTGAGGGGTCTCTACAAAGAACAAGGAGCCCTGGTGGGTAAGCACAGTGGGTAAGCACTTGGCTGGTAACCGAAAGGTTGGCTGTTTGAACTCCCAGCTGCTCAGTGGGAAGAAGATGTGGCAGTCTGCTTCCATAAAGATCAACAACCTTGGAAATCCTGTGGGAAGGTTCTGTCCTCCAGGGGTGCTGTGATTCAGAATTGTTTCAAGAGCAACAGGTTTGGTTTGGTTTCTACAAAGACCAGAAAATCACGGAAGAGGTTGTGGGCTAGGGGATTCAGAGAACATTCACTAGGGGCTGTTTGAGTGTGCGTGGTTCAACAGGCACAGGGGAAGGCGGGGGGAATAGCAAGGGCAGGGCCTCTCAGACACGAATAGTAGCCCTGTTTTGGGAGTAATGGTTAGGTTACTGTCCTGGGGATGGGCCCATTGGGGTTCAGTGGCAGACATCCTGCCCTCTAGGTGGGGGACTTGAGTTCAGCTCCGGGCCAGTGCACCCCTGTGCAGCTACCACTCATCCGTCGGTGAAGGCTTGCCTGGTAGGGTGTTGAGCGGTGTTAGTGCAGCTCCCAGACTCAGAGACTAGGAGGAGAGGCCTGGTGATGCACTTCTGAAAATCGGCCGGGAGAGCCCTGCAGATCACGATGTGCTGATCCTCGATGGTTTCATTGCATCGTGTTGGGGGTCTTTCAGGGGCTGAGTCAATGGCAGCTAATAACAACTGTCTCAGGAGCACAGGATGGGGTCACGCTCTGCACAGTTAGGCTGAGAACAGATTGTACCAGGTCTTGAATGCCAGATGAAAGATGTTGTTGTTATGTGCCGTCGAGTCGTACCCGACTCTTAGCGACCCCTCCTTGGGTTTCTGAGGCAATATCACTACGGAGTAGATTGCCCAACCTTCCTTCTGAGGAGCAGTGAAGGAAGCTGGACTTTATTCAGTATGTGATTGGGCACCATCTACAAGGAATATAAGGTAGAGGCATGAGGGTGGATCTGAGGAGGATGGGCCTGGACTTGGAGGGAGAGTCCTCCTAGACGCTATTCCAAGATTCCAACCAGAGATCACAGGGAACTGAAATGAGGAAGCGGCATTGAGGACGGGGAAGAGGGGACAGGGCTAGAGGCATTTAGGCCAAATCAAGAAGCCTCCCTAAGGAGGCCAGAATCCAGGCTGGAGGCTGTGAGCTGGGCCAGGGGTGACCCTGCACCAGCCTGGGATCGCATCCCAGCCCCTCCTCATACAGTCTGGGCAAGTGGCTCAATTCTCCCAAAAGCTTCAGATTGCGTTTCTGAAACTATACCAGCGCCTTTCTCAAAGATGTGAGCAGCTGCGTCCCTGTACTGCACGTGGTGCTGGCAGTGGGAAGTCCTCCTGCCACACGCTGCCATGGTGCCAATGCCTGCAGCAACTGCAGGGGAACTGCCAAGCTTCCAAGGCTGCCAATCTTCACTGAAGCAAAGCCCAAACCACACCCACGGCTGATGCTGACTCACAGCGCCCCTAGAGGACAGAGTGGAACTGCCCACAGGGTCTCCAAGGCTGTCAATCTTCACAGAAGCAAAGCCCAAACCACACCCACTGCCGTGGAGTCCATTCTGACCCACAGCGCCCCTAGAGGACAGAGTCGAACACTGCCCACAGGGTCTCCAAGGCTGTCAATCTTCACGGAAGCAAAGCCCAAACCACACCCACTGCCGTGGAGTCCATTCCGACTCACAGCGCCCCTAGGATAGAGTGGAACTGCCTTAGAGGGTTTCCAAGGCTGTAAATTTTTATGGAAGCCAACTGCCTCATCTTTCTTCCTTGGAGTGGCTGGTGGGTTCAAACCACTTACTTTTCAGTTAGCATTTGAGTGCTTAACCACTGGGCCACCAGGGCTCTTTTGGGGACTTAAAAAAACAAAAGCCAAATCCTCTGCCATTGAGTAGATTCCAACTCATGGTGACGCTATGGGACCATGAGTAAAACTGCCCCACAGGGTTTCCAAGGTTGCCATCTTCACAGAAGCAAAGCCAAACCCAACCCACTGCTGATTCCGACCCACAGCGCCCCTAGAGGACAGAGTAGAACTGCCCCACAGGGTCTCCAAGGCTGTGATCTTTATGAAAGCGGACTGCCTCATCTTTGTTCCGTGTATGTGTGTGTGGGGGGGCGGCTGGTGGGTTCAAACGCCGACCTTTTAGTTAGCAGCTGAGTGCTTAGCCACTGCGTCACCAGGGCTCCTGGCAAGTTCTCAGTGAATGGCAATGCTCTTGTAATAGAAAGGTCATCACAGGTGGGAAATAAGGCAGGAAGGCAGCTGTGAAGACTATTTATGTACCGATTTACCGCCATTCAGCCCTGATCCAGAAAAGACTTCGGGAAGCTTGCAGACACTTGACTGAGTAAGAGAAAATGAGTTTAAAATACATGAGAAAAAGATATGGCAAAGTGAACACTAGGGTAGGGAATGGAAGACGGACCATGAGTGAGTTTAGAGCCCACAATGCCAGACGTTCTTCTCTAAGCTTCCTGGTAGCCAGTGTGAAGAGGGAAAGATGATCACACCTTTGATTCTTGGGCTCCGAAGAATCAACAACGGGAGAAGTGCGACTGCCCTTGATATCAAAACCAGAGAGGAATTTGTTTCTTTGAGCCCACGGAGATGACAGTGTGCAACACCACCCTTGGCGTTTTCCTCATGGTACACTTGGCAGTGACCCTACAGGTCAGGACTGATGTAACCATGCTGCACCAGAGAGAACAGCAGGGCTGGGGCTGACGG